TGGATAGGTAAAGTATCATCAAAAGAAGCTAGTAGAATGAGATTGCATTCAGAAACGAGAAGAATGAAATACAAGAAGTGTGCGAGAATTGAGTAGAAAAAAGAAAGTGACTGTGAATAGGATTAAACTGTACGAATAGCAAGTATAAGCGGAAGATTGTTCTGAAAAGTATTTGGTAAAATGCAAGCCGTTAGCTACATATTCATGAAATGCGGTAATTAATGACTTGTGTACGAAAATTTTCATGGCCTTGGACCTGCATGCTAAGCAATTCCACTTCATAGAAGAAAGGTAAAGTAAAAGATGCTCATATGATAGTATGCATTGAGAGAATAAAAGACTGAAAACTCATTTATAGACCAAATACAATTAAGAGAAGGCTTAACTTCATTCAATTTGGATTGCAGTGCCATTTATGTATGTACAGACTAATAAGTTAAATTAGGACTCCTCTGGAATAAAAATTTGTGGCGAAAATCATTCAGAGCTTGATAAATATTCATAAATTATTTAAAGCAAATGAGTAAGTGGCAATGCATATTATAAAATTTAGATGTATATCCATCCTATATCGAATAAAGTGATAAGGGGAGTGGTAGTTAAATTTTCCCACAATGATGTAAGTAGACTTCACGCTTCCATTGAATTTCACATTGCCTTATTTTTCAAAAGGTATTCTTATCCAGAGTGGTCTGCAGTTTTGACCTCGCTTGGGTCTTATCAATCCCACTACAAAACGTTATATGGGAAAATACTTGGCCTTCCTTGAAATTTACATCCTCCCTGTGGCCCAAGGGCACTCGTGGCAATGTGGTGTAGTGGTTAATGTGCCGAGATTACAAGCCGCGTTGTCGTGGGAGAGTTGATAAGATCTAGGCAAGGCCGAAATTGCAGTCCACCTTGGAGGAGAATACTTTTTGTGAAGCAAGTCTACGTAAAATTCAATGGAATCGTAAGGTCCACTCACATCACTGTGGAATTATTAAACAACTAATCGCCTTATGACCTTAAGTGAAAGAGGGTGAATAAACATATAATTGACCTACTGGCAGTCACGAAAACCTAATGAAAAACAGAATTATTTTAACTGATAAAAACTAAGCTAGTCAACAATATAGCAAAAACAGACACTTTGGAAATATTATGATACACCCATTTTTTAATAACTGCTGAATATCGTTAAATGTATCGTGGAGACTTTGTTGCCATCAATTAAATTCACGTATGACCTCAATACACTTGAAAAGAACTAACAGTTTT